TGAACCATACAACAACCACATTGCCTAGAGTCTGGCCAATATAATCCACATCCTTAGCTTTCTAATAGAAGATGTGTGGGGTGTGTCTGACATATAGCCAGTGTCCATGGTAGGGAGATAATGTAGGATAAGGCGAGAACCTCTGGTAATGGTGAGATAGTGGCACAACGGCCTTTACACACTGACTAGACTCCCTGCTCCTGAACATCAGTTACTGTGTCTTGTCCATCCTCTTCCTCTATGGTAGGCTGGAAATGTACTGGGAAGAAGCTATTAGTTCTTGAGAGCAACAGAAACCAATGGAAAGTTAGCTTCACAAAGTGCTAAGGATGATTTTGTTTATTTTCTTATGAAGTTATATATGTAAATTATTTGTTAACTTATAAGCCACTAACTTCTTTCTAATATTAGAAACACTCTGATAATAGTGTACAGCACGACTGTAATTTATTCATTTTGTTCCCATGTCCTCTACTTGCTTGAATATGTACATCTTATTTGTAAGTGGTTATCATTCCTTTATTTACACCCATAAATTACATATATGGTGGTGATCATGTCAGATTATAATAGAACTGAAAATTTCCTGTCACCCAGTGACATTGGAGCAATCATAATTTTGTAGCACAATGAATCATTCGTGTGCCTGTGATTGTACTAGTACAAACGAGCTTACTGTTCTGGCCAGTTATGCAAAGGTATAGCACAAGGGAGTAAAAGGCCTGTTGCACAAACATGAGGATCTTGATTTGGATCCAAACAACCATGTAAAAGCTGACCATGGCAGTGTGGATTTGTTATAGCTCAGGGAAGTGGACACAGGTGGATTCCTGGGGCTCATTAGACAGAAAGTCTAGTTAGTTGGTGAGCTCTAGCTATCTCAAAAACTAGTCACTGAGGAATACACTCAACTACCTTTGGCCCACACATACATGTGCACATGAGTTCATATATGCATGTGCATATATCTACATAAGCCTGCGTGTATACCATACCTCCAAAAAGCACATGCAATCATGTACAGTATATAATACCTTATAATGATAATAAGTGACTGTATTTCTAGTGTATATATTTCACCTATCACATTTTCATTGTTAGTGTAAAACAGTATGGCACACAATGTTGGCAACACCTTATACATTTCATGTTTACTTGATTGCCTCAACAGGCCATGTCAAGTGGTTGATCTCTACCTTTTAGGTTTGTTATGTACTCTGAGATGTTCATGCAATGGCAGCATTTCTTAATGAGAAATTTTTCAAAATATATCTTGTTGTTAATGGATTCCTGATTGTATACTCAATGAAATATTAGTCAACCTTAATATTAAGGGTGGTTTGTGATTTGCCACAATATAGGTGAACCTAGAGGGCATAATTCTAAGTCAGACACAGAGAGATAAATATTGCATGATTCACATATGTGGAATCTAAAAAAAAGTCAAACTCATGAAAACAAAGTGAGTAGAATAGTGCTACCAGGGTTGAGAGTGTAGGGAAAAAAATCCGTTGAACAAAAGATTAAATCCTTCTCTTGCCAGAGGAGTGATTACTGGAGACAATGCAATGTACAATGTGTTAGCTATAGTTAATAATTATGTGTTGTGTTTTGAAACTTCTTTAGAGGCTAGATCTCAATGTCACCACATACACATCCAGAAGAGTTAACTATGTGAGGTAATTGATCTATTAAACTTAGCTAGGTGTAGTGATTATTTCACATTGGATACACATATCAAAACATTGAATGATATACTCAAAACATGTTATTTTAATTTGCTATTTATTCTTTAGAAATCTGGAGAAGGGAGGTCTAGCCTTGAATTTTGGCTTCCCATCATCTGGCCTCTTGCTAATTCTCAGAAGGTAGTTCTTGAAAACTATCTACCCTATCCTCATCCCACATATCCACTAGGGAAGCATTCTGATGGATGTGAATTCACCCCACAGCTCCACACACAAGGCAACACTCTGATGGAAGTGGACTCACACCACAGATCCATACAGGCCAGCACTCTGATGGATGTGGACTCACACCACAGCTCCACACAGGCCAGCACTCTGATGGATGTGGATTCACACTACAGATTCACACAGGCTAGCACTCTGATGGATGTAGACTCACACTACAGATTCACACAGGCCAGCACTCTGATGGATGTGGACTCACACCACAGCTCCATACAGGCCAGCACTCTGATGGATGTGGATTCACACTACAGATTCACACAGGCTAGCACTGTGGTAGATGTGAGAAACCTGAATGATTTGCTTAGGTAGTAGCTTTTTTTTTTGCTTTCTCACAGGAGTCATTTATATTCATTGTATCTGGTTCATTGGCAGCCATTCATTCCTAACCTTTCCAATAATTTCCGTGTATCCTGCCTCTCTATAGAAATACCTCTTCCTAGTATGATAGATTTCAAGATACCAAAGCAATGGCTATATTTCATTTTTCTCTTCATTTGATTTTTCTGGTCTCTTTGAATGTTGATAATACTTCTTAGTGATAGAACTATGACTTGAAATACAAAATTAGGTTTGGACGTCTTTGTATTATTATTCTTTTTAATTTGAGGCAAGGTATTATTCATGTATATCCCTGATGGTTTGGAGCTTTGAAATATAGTCCAGACTCACCTTGAACACACTGTCTTTGCTACTGCCTCCAAAGTGCTGGAGTTCCAGGCAAACACCACTGTGCTTAGCACAAAGATATCGTCTTCAGATAAATGCATATTTTCTTTGGTTTTGCTTTTGTTTCCTGTACTGGGGATTAAAGTCAGGGTTTCTACATATTAGAACTCCTACTGAACTCCATGTTTCCAGGTTTCAAATCTTGTACCTACCATATGCTTGTTATTTAACTATGGGCAGCCTATTTTCTCAATATTTTATTCTTCATCTTATTTAACTCATGACCAAAACGTTAACACAAATAACAGTTATTGAATACCAGGCCCAATTCTGACTGTTTTCCATGCACATACTAGGTCTTTGTGATCCTGATCATTTTCTTTGAAGAGTTAGTCAACTAAGAAGAGGGACAATGTTTCATGAAGACAAGAGGATAGAACTTATGCTTCTGGTGAACCTTGTTTCATCCTTTTCGGCAAACTGATTTTATGTCAACGGAAAAAAAGGATATTCTGGCAATGTAATCCTTTGAGTGGGCAGGAATACAGAAGAAAGCAATTTCAGTTGACTGTGGCTGTGTCAGAAAAGTTAGAGTTCATTTTTGTATAGAACACATATCTCTGTGTCTCTCTTATATTGTCCATCAACACATCTACCTTGGGCAGTCCAGGTCTGTACTGTTAGCTCATAGTTTTTACTTCCAGCCCCGTATGTAGGCCTAACTAAATGTATAGAAGGGCTGCCTGAAGGAACTGGATAAACTTGATCTTTCTGTGGTATCATTGCTAAGTTATCAGGTCTGGCAACTTAAGGAATATGCAGTTTTATAGTTTTATATGTGGACAACATTCCTGTCTTTGCGGATCCAATAGAACATGAAGCAAGACTAAATAGAATACGGAGCTGCTTGCTGCCTTTGATTCAGTACCTGTCTCCACTAAAGATCATTTCAGTTTCGACAGTCACTCTCACTTCAGCATGACTCATTTCAGTAAAAGTGCAAGAAAGGTAGTTTTTATGTATACTGTTTATAAAACCACCAGACTCAGAACTTGGAGACTTGATGTCTGCATATTGTCTTGAAAGAAGTTATTTGTGTGACAAACTCATCTGCAAATTGAGGAGGTGTGCCTATAGATGTCTCCAGTTTGTTATTTGGGGATAAAAATCCCACTCCAGTTTTGATGGAAAGATGTAGTTTTTCATGAAAGAATGTTGTGCATATCTTACCCAGTTCTTTACTCTCCCCTGACCCATATCCTGATAACAAACATGACCATATTTCCTACCAGGGCAGAGAGCCCTTGTTCTCTTCCTTCCCTCTGGAACTGAACACCAGGACCCTGTCTCTACTCCCATTGGGTGTCTGCCATGTTCTTTGGAAGGAATAACCTTGTTCTTACTTCAAAGATTCCTGTGATTTTGGTTTGACATAGATAATAATTATATGGATAAATGATTTCCTACTCTTAACAAAGCTATTTTGCATGGTAAGGTGGTAAACACCAAAGGAGTAGTGATTCCATGGGGTAATACATGGGTACATTTAAATTTTTTATTTCACCATTGCAACATAGATATTTCTATATGGTTATCCAACTTTTTCTATAAAGATGAAAAGATGTAGTTATGACACACAGAGAGAAGTCTTCAAATTCATGAAAGAATGAAAGAGGCAAAGTATATTAGATGGCCAATTATTTATTTTTCATTTATCATAGAGGTTACTGTGTTAATCAATACGTCCAATGTAATTTAAACAATTGCTTAAGAAAAGGCAAATTCAAATGGGTAGATATTCTAAATTCTGATTGCAGGCAGAGGATTAGGGCCTCAAATAGACTGCTCTCAGGTTTTGTTATATTTTTCAAGTTATGGGCAAAAATTAATATCCAGATTTAAAGGATTTAAAATAAAATATTTTAAGGTAAATAAACTTAATCTTGCACCAAATATTCATACTACTAAAATTAAATTCCCCATACCATAAATTTTCTAAATAATAAAACCTGAACTACATTTCAAAATACTCGCGAAATGAAAAGAAAAAAGCATGGATTAAAAATTCTAAATGTATAAACCAAAAACCCTGTAACCAACCAAACCAAATCAACCAATAAACCAAGCAACAAAAAAAGTAAGAAAAATGAAAAAGAAAAAAGGAAAGAATTAACGCAAAACTACGAAAGAGACAGCTATTCAAAAATGAGGTGATTTTATACTTTTGTTCCGTTGATTCCACGACATTGGATCTTTAGTGGTAGTGATAATACCTCTGTGAATAAGTAAACTCAAGACGTTTTGAGGAAAGACCTGAATTGTCTCCAGCTTGGTCGTACTCTAAGGATTCCCTATGACTACCTGAATTAGATCTGGTACTCCCCTGTTTCGCAGAAGCATACCTGTGCCCAACTGTGACTTCTGAAGGGCCTTCGCTGTCACTGTCCTGGCTGGCGCTGTCTCCATGGTATCTCCCTGTCCTTGATGTGGAATGATTGTTGCCATCTGGTGACTGGTGTCCAACTGGAGACTCCTGTCTTCTTCGGGAGCCTGTTCTGGTGGTGCCCCTGGGAGAGTCAGCATGTCTTTGGGAGGACTCGCTTCTCTGCCGGGAGCCGGACTGCCTGGACCTGTCTGTAGACTGTTCGTGTCCACTTGCATGGCCTCTTGCTGTTTCTCTGTGGCCGGACTGCCTGGACCTGTCTGTAGACTGTTCGCGACCAGTTGGCTGCCTGCCTGCTGTGGCCCTGTGGCCTACTTGACCCTGGGAGGAATCACTTTCAGTGTGGGAGGCTCTCTGGCCTTGCCTGGATCCTGAGCGTCCAGCACCATCATGGCGGTCTTCGTGGCCCCTTCTGGTGCTAGATCCGGAAGTTGCCTGGGTGGTGGCCTGGTCCCTTCTGGACTGGTGGTGCTCAGAGCTGTCCCTCGCGGCCTCGCGGTGGGACCCCTGACCCTCTCTAGCACTGTCTCTGGTCTGTCCACGGGAGGATCCTGCCTGGTGGTCAGAGGAAGTCTGTCCGTGGTGAGAACCTCCAGTCCTGGCGCTGTCCCGTCCTTGTTCTTGCTGGGCGCCCTGGGGAGCTCTGCCACTGGACCGCTGCTGTGTGTGGCCGGACTCGGAGTGGCCGTGTTCCTCCTCAGAGTAGTAGTACACCCTGTAGGGTCCAGTTCCTTTCTCCCCACGGGAGGATGTCTGCTCGTGCCTTTGTCTGGCCCCGGAGTGACCACGGGCTCCCACTGCCTGGCCTTCTGAGCCTTCAGAATGGCTTTCGCTGTCACTGGCCTGGCTGGTGCTGTCCCTCTGGTGTCTCTCCCTCCTTGATGTGGAATGCCTGGGTCCATCTGGTGACTGGTGGCCAGCTGGGGACTCCTGTCTCCCTCGGGAGCCTGTTCTGGTGGTGCCCCTGGGAGAGTCAGCATGTCTTTGGGAGGACTCGCTTCTCTGCCGGGAGCCGGACTGCCTGGACCTGTCTGTAGACTGTTCGTGTCCACTTGCATGGCCTCTTGCTGTTTCTCTGTGGCCGGACTGCCTGGACCTGTCTGTAGACTGTTCGCGACCAGTTGGCTGCCTGCCTGCCAAGTAGGCCCTGTGGCCTACTTGACCCTGGGAGGAATCACTTTCAGTGTGGGAGGCTCTCTGGCCTTGCCTGGATCCTGAGCGTCCAGCGCCATCATGGCGGTCTTCGTGGCCCCTTCTGGTGCTAGATCCGGAAGTTGCCTGGGTGGTGGCCTGGTCCCTTCTGGACTGGTGGTGCTCAGAGCTGTCCCTCGCGGCCTCGCGGTGGGACCCCTGACCCTCTCTAGCACTGTCTCTGGTCTGTCCACGGGAGGACCCTGCCTGGTGGCCAGAGGAAGTCTGTCCTTGGTGAGAACCTCCAGTCCTGGCGCTGTCCCGTCCTTGTTCTTGCTGGGCGCCCTGGGGAGCTCTGCCACTGGACCGCTGCTGTGTGTGGCCGGACTCGGAGTGGCCGTGTTCCTCCTCAGAGTAGTAGTACACCCTGTAGGGTCCAGTTCCTTTCTCCCCACGGGAGGATGTCTGCTCGTGCCTTTGTCTGGCCCCGGAGTGACCACGGGCTCCCACTGCCTGGCCTTCTGAGCCTTCAGAATGGCTTTCGCTGTCACTGGCCTGGCTGGTGCTGTCCCTCTGGTGTCTCTCCCTCCTTGATGTGGAATGCCTGGGTCCATCTGGTGACTGGTGGCCAGCTGGGGACTCCTGTCTCCCTCGGGAGCCTGTTCTGGTGGTGCCCCTGGGAGAGTCAGCATGTCTTTGGGAGGACTCGCTTCTCTGCCGGGAGCCAGACTGCCTGGACCTGTCTGTAGACTGTTCGTGTCCACTTGCATGGCCTCTTGCTGTTTCTCTGTGGCCGGACTGCCTGGACCTGTCTGTAGACTGTTCGCGACCAGTTGGCTGCCTGCCTGCTGTGGCCCTGTGGCCTACTTGACCCTGGGAGGAATCACTATCAGTGTGGGAGGCTCTCTGGCCTTGCCTGGATCCTGAGCGTCCAGCGCCATCATGGCGGTCTTCGTGGCCCCTTCTGGTGCTAGATCCGGAAGTTGCCTGGGTGGTGGCCTGGTCCCTTCTGGACTGGTGGTGCTCAGAGCTGTCCCTCGCGGCCTCGCGGTGGGACCCCTGACCCTCTCTAGCACTGTCTCTGGTCTGTCCACGGGAGGACCCTGCCTGGTGGCCAGAGGAAGTCTGTCCTTGGTGAGAACCTCCAGTCCTGGCGCTGTCCCGTCCTTGTTCTTGCTGGGCGCCCTGGGGAGCTCTGCCACTGGACCGCTGCTGTGTGTGGCCGGACTCGGAGTGGCCGTGTTCCTCCTCAGAGTAGTAGTACACCCTGTAGGGTCCAGTTCCTTTCTCCCCACGGGAGGATGTCTGCTCGTGCCTTTGTCTGGCCCCGGAGTGACCACGGGCTCCCACTGCCTGGCCTTCTGAGCCTTCAGAATGGCTTTCGCTGTCACTGGCCTGGCTGGTGCTGTCCCTCTGGTGTCTCTCCCTCCTTGATGTGGAATGCCTGGGTCCATCTGGTGACTGGTGGCCAGCTGGGGACTCCTGTCTCCCTCGGGAGCCTGTCCTGGTGGTGCCCCTGGGAGAGTCAGCATGTCTTTGGGAGGACTCGCTTCTCTGCCGGGAGCCGGACTGCCTGGACCTGTCTGTAGACTGTTCGTGTCCACTTGCATGGCCTCTTGCTGTTTCTCTGTGGCCGGACTGCCTGGACCTGTCTGTAGACTGTTCGCGACCAGTTGGCTGCCTGCCTGCTGTGGCCCTGTGGCCTACTTGACCCTGGGAGGAATCACTATCAGTGTGGGAGGCTCTCTGGCCTTGCCTGGATCCTGAGCGTCCAGCGCCATCATGGCGGTCTTCGTGGCCCCTTCTGGTGCTAGATCCGGAAGTTGCCTGGGTGGTGGCCTGGTCCCTTCTGGACTGGTGGTGCTCAGAGCGGTCCCTCGTGGCCTCGCGGTGGGACCCCTGACCCTCTCTAGCACTGTCTCTGGTCTGTCCACGGGAGGACCCTGCCTGGTGGCCAGAGGAAGTCTGTCCTTGGTGAGAACCTCCAGTCCTGGCGCTGTCCCGTCCTTGTTCTTGCTGGGCGCCCTGGGGAGCTCTGCCACTGGACCGCTGCTGTGTGTGGCCAGACTCGGAGTGGCCGTGTTCCTCCTCAGAGTAGTAGTACACCCTGTAGGGTCCAGTTCCTTTCTCCCCACGGGAGGATGTCTGCTCGTGCCTTTGTCTGGCCCCGGAGTGACCACGGGCTCCCACTGCCTGGCCTTCTGAGCCTTCAGAATGGCTTTCGCTGTCACTGGCCTGGCTGGTGCTGTCCCTCTGGTGTCTCTCCCTCCTTGATGTGGAATGCCTGGGTCCATCTGGTGACTGGTGGCCAGCTGGGGACTCCTGTCTCCCTCGGGAGCCTGTTCTGGTGGTGCCCCTGGGAGAGTCAGCATGTCTTTGGGAGGACTCGCTTCTCTGCCGGGAGCCAGACTGCCTGGACCTGTCTGTAGACTGTTCGTGTCCACTTGCATGGCCTCTTGCTGTTTCTCTGTGGCCGGACTGCCTGGACCTGTCTGTAGACTGTTCGCGACCAGTTGGCTGCCTGCCTGCTGTGGCCCTGTGGCCTACTTGACCCTGGGAGGAATCACTATCAGTGTGGGAGGCTCTCTGGCCTTGCCTGGATCCTGAGCGTCCAGCGCCATCATGGTGGTCTTCGTGGCCCCTTCTGGTGCTAGATCCGGAAGTTGCCTGGGTGGTGGCCTGGTCCCTTCTGGACTGGTGGTGCTCAGAGCTGTCCCTCGCGGCCTCGCGGTGGGACCCCTGACCCTCTCTAGCACTGTCTCTGGTCTGTCCACGGGAGGACCCTGCCTGGTGGCCAGAGGAAGTCTGTCCTTGGTGAGAACCTCCAGTCCTGGCGCTGTCCCGTCCTTGTTCTTGCTGGGCGCCCTGGGGAGCTCTGCCACTGGACCGCTGCTGTGTGTGGCCGGACTCGGAGTGGCCGTGTTCCTCCTCAGAGTAGTAGTACACCCTGTAGGGTCCAGTTCCTTTCTCCCCACGGGAGGATGTCTGCTCGTGCCTTTGTCTGGCCCCGGAGTGACCACGGGCTCCCACTGCCTGGCCTTCTGAGCCTTCAGAATGGCTTTCGCTGTCACTGGCCTGGCTGGTGCTGTCCCTCTGGTGTCTCTCCCTCCTTGATGTGGAATGCCTGGGTCCATCTGGTGACTGGTGGCCAGCTGGGGACTCCTGTCTCCCTCGGGAGCCTGTCCTGGTGGTGCCCCTGGGAGAGTCAGCATGTCTTTGGGAGGACTCGCTTCTCTGCCGGGAGCCGGACTGCCTGGACCTGTCTGTAGACTGTTCGTGTCCACTTGCATGGCCTCTTGCTGTTTCTCTGTGGCCGGACTGCCTGGACCTGTCTGTAGACTGTTCGCGACCAGTTGGCTGCCTGCCTGCTGTGGCCCTGTGGCCTACTTGACCCTGGGAGGAATCACTTTCAGTGCGGGAGGCTCTCTGCCCTTGCCTGGATCCTGAGCGTCCAGCACCATCATGGCGGTCTTCGTGGCCCCTTCTGGTGCTAGATCCGGAAGTTGCCTGGGTGGTGGCCTGGTCCCTTCTGGACTGGTGGTGCTCAGAGCTGTCCCTCGCGGCCTCGCGGTGGGACCCCTGACCCTCTCTAGCACTGTCTCTGGTCTGTCCACGGGAGGATCCTGCCTGGTGGTCAGAGGAAGTCTGTCCTTGGTGAGAACCTCCAGTCCTGGTGCTGTCCCGTCCTTGTTCTTGCTGGGCGCCCTGGGGAGCTCTGCCACTGGACCGCTGCTGTGTGTGGCCGGACTCGGAGTGGCCGTGTTCCTCCTCAGAGTAGTAGTACACCCTGTAGGGTCCAGTTCCTTTCTCCCCACGGGAGGATGTCTGCTCGTGCCTTTGTCTGGCCCCGGAGTGACCACGGGCTCCCACTGCCTGGCCTTCTGAGCCTTCAGAATGGCTTTCGCTGTCACTGGCCTGGCTGGTGCTGTCCCTCTGGTGTCTCTCCCTCCTTGATGTGGAATGCCTGGGTCCATCTGGTGACTGGTGGCCAGCTGGGGACTCCTGTCTCCCTCGGGAGCCTGTTCTGGTGGTGCCCCTGGGAGAGTCAGCATGTCTTTGGGAGGACTCGCTTCTCTGCCGGGAGCCGGACTGCCTGGACCTGTCTGTAGACTGTTCGTGTCCACTTGCATGGCCTCTTGCTGTTTCTCTGTGGCCGGACTGCCTGGACCTGTCTGTAGACTGTTCGCGACCAGTTGGCTGCCTGCCTGCTGTGGCCCTGTGGCCTACTTGACCCTGGGAGGAATCACTATCAGTGTGGGAGGCTCTCTGGCCTTGCCTGGATCCTGAGCGTCCAGCGCCATCATGGCGGTCTTCGTGGCCCCTTCTGGTGCTAGATCCGGAAGTTGCCTGGGTGGTGGCCTGGTCCCTTCTGGACTGGTGGTGCTCAGAGCGGTCCCTCGCGGCCTCGCGGTGGGACCCCTGACCCTCTCTAGCACTGTCTCTGGTCTGTCCACGGGAGGACCCTGCCTGGTGGCCAGAGGAAGTCTGTCCTTGGTGAGAACCTCCAGTCCTGGCGCTGTCCCGTCCTTGTTCTTGCTGGGCGCCCTGGGGAGCTCTGCCACTGGACCGCTGCTGTGTGTGGCCGGACTCGGAGTGGCCGTGTTCCTCCTCAGAGTAGTAGTACACCCTGTAGGGTCCAGTTCCTTTCTCCCCACGGGAGGATGTCTGCTCGTGCCTTTGTCTGGCCCCGGAGTGACCACGGGCTCCCACTGCCTGGCCTTCTGAGCCTTCAGAATGGCTTTCGCTGTCACTGGCCTGGCTGGTGCTGTCCCTCTGGTGTCTCTCCCTCCTTGATGTGGAATGCCTGGGTCCATCTGGTGACTGGTGGCCAGCTGGGGACTCCTGTCTCCCTCGGGAGCCTGTTCTGGTGGTGCCCCTGGGAGAGTCAGCATGTCTTTGGGAGGACTCGCTTCTCTGCCGGGAGCCAGACTGCCTGGACCTGTCTGTAGACTGTTCGTGTCCACTTGCATGGCCTCTTGCTGTTTCTCTGTGGCCGGACTGCCTGGACCTGTCTGTAGACTGTTCGCGACCAGTTGGCTGCCTGCCTGCTGTGGCCCTGTGGCCTACTTGACCCTGGGAGGAATCACTTTCAGTGTGGGAGGCTCTCTGGCCTTGCCTGGATCCTGAGCGTCCAGCACCATCATGGCGGTCTTCGTGGCCCCTTCTGGTGCTAGATCCGGAAGTTGCCTGGGTGGTGGCCTGGTCCCTTCTGGACTGGTGGTGCTCAGAGCTGTCCCTCGCGGCCTCGCGGTGGGACCCCTGACCCTCTCTAGCACTGTCTCTGGTCTGTCCACGGGACGACCCTGCCTGGTGGTCAGAGGAAGTCTGTCCTTGGTGAGAACCTCCAGTCCTGGCGCTGTCCCGTCCTTGTTCTTGCTGGGCGCCCTGGGGAGCTCTGCCACTGGACCGCTGCTGTGTGTGGCCGGACTCGGAGTGGCCGTGTTCCTCCTCAGAGTAGTAGTACACCCTGTAGGGTCCAGTTCCTTTCTCCCCACGGGAGGATGTCTGCTCGTGCCTTTGTCTGGCCCCGGAGTGACCACGGGCTCCCACTGCCTGGCCTTCTGAGCCTTCAGAATGGCTTTCGCTGTCACTGGCCTGGCTGGTGCTGTCCCTCTGGTGTCTCTCCCTCCTTGATGTGGAATGCCTGGGTCCATCTGGTGACTGGTGGCCAGCTGGGGACTCCTGTCTCCCTCGGGAGCCTGTTCTGGTGGTGCCCCTGGGAGAGTCAGCATGTCTTTGGGAGGACTCGCTTCTCTGCCGGGAGCCGGACTGCCTGGACCTGTCTGTAGACTGTTCGTGTCCACTTGCATGGCCTCTTGCTGTTTCTCTGTGGCCGGACTGCCTGGACCTGTCTGTAGACTGTTCGCGACCAGTTGGCTGCCTGCCTGCCAAGTAGGCCCTGTGGCCTACTTGACCCTGGGAGGAATCACTTTCAGTGTGGGAGGCTCTCTGGCCTTGCCTGGATCCTGAGCGTCCAGCACCATCATGGCGGTCTTCGTGGCCCCTTCTGGTGCTAGATCCGGAAGTTGCCTGGGTGGTGGCCTGGTCCCTTCTGGACTGGTGGTGCTCAGAGCTGTCCCTCGCGGCCTCGCGGTGGGACCCCTGACCCTCTCTAGCACTGTCTCTGGTCTGTCCACGGGAGGACCCTGCCTGGTGGCCAGAGGAAGTCTGTCCTTGGTGAGAACCTCCAGTCCTGGCGCTGTCCCGTCCTTGTTCTTGCTGGGCGCCCTGGGGAGCTCTGCCACTGGACCGCTGCTGTGTGTGGCCGGACTCGGAGTGGCCGTGTTCCTCCTCAGAGTAGTAGTACACCCTGTAGGGTCCAGTTCCTTTCTCCCCACGGGAGGATGTCTGCTCGTGCCTTTGTCTGGCCCCGGAGTGACCACGGGCTCCCACTGCCTGGCCTTCTGAGCCTTCAGAATGGCTTTCGCTGTCACTGGCCTGGCTGGTGCTGTCCCTCTGGTGTCTCTCCCTCCTTGATGTGGAATGCCTGGGTCCATCTGGTGACTGGTGGCCAGCTGGGGACTCCTGTCTCCCTCGGGAGCCTGTTCTGGTGGTGCCCCTGGGAGAGTCAGCATGTCTTTGGGAGGACTCGCTTCTCTGCCGGGAGCCAGACTGCCTGGACCTGTCTGTAGACTGTTCGTGTCCACTTGCATGGCCTCTTGCTGTTTCTCTGTGGCCGGACTGCCTGGACCTGTCTGTAGACTGTTCGCGACCAGTTGGCTGCCTGCCTGCTGTGGCCCTGTGGCCTACTTGACCCTGGGAGGAATCACTATCAGTGTGGGAGGCTCTCTGGCCTTGCCTGGATCCTGAGCGTCCAGCGCTATCATGGCGGTCTTCGTGGCCCCTTCTGGTGCTAGATCCGGAAGTTGCCTGGGTGGTGGCCTGGTCCCTTCTGGACTGGTGGTGCTCAGAGCTGTCCCTCGCGGCCTCGCGGTGGGACCCCTGACCCTCTCTAGCACTGTCTCTGGTCTGTCCACGGGAGGACCCTGCCTGGTGGCCAGAGGAAGTCTGTCCTTGGTGAGAACCTCCAGTCCTGGCGCTGTCCCGTCCTTGTTCTTGCTGGGCGCCCTGGGGAGCTCTGCCACTGGACCGCTGCTGTGTGTGGCCGGACTCGGAGTGGCCGTGTTCCTCCTCAGAGTAGTAGTACACCCTGTAGGGTCCAGTTCCTTTCTCCCCACGGGAGGATGTCTGCTCGTGCCTTTGTCTGGCCCCGGAGTGACCACGGGCTCCCACTGCCTGGCCTTCTGAGCCTTCAGAATGGCTTTCGCTGTCACTGGCCTGGCTGGTGCTGTCCCTCTGGTGTCTCTCCCTCCTTGATGTGGAATGCCTGGGTCCATCTGGTGACTGGTGGCCAGCTGGGGACTCCTGTCTCCCTCGGGAGCCTGTTCTGGTGGTGCCCCTGGGAGAGTCAGCATGTCTTTGGGAGGACTCGCTTCTCTGCCGGGAGCCGGACTGCCTGGACCTGTCTGTAGACTGTTCGTGTCCACTTGCATGGCCTCTTGCTGTTTCTCTGTGGCCGGACTGCCTGGACCTGTCTGTAGACTGTTCGCGACCAGTTGGCTGCCTGCCTGCTGTGGCCCTGTGGCCTACTTGACCCTGGGAGGAATCACTATCAGTGTGGGAGGCTCTCTGGCCTTGCCTGGATCCTGAGCGTCCAGCGCCATCATGGAGGTCTTCGTGGCCCCTTCTGGTGCTAGATCCGGAAGTTGCCTGGGTGGTGGCCTGGTCCCTTCTGGACTGGTGGTGCTCAGAGCTGTCCCTCGCGGCCTCGCGGTGGGACCCCTGACCCTCTCTAGCACTGTCTCTGGTCTGTCCACGGGAGGACCCTGCCTGGTGGCCAGAGGAAGTCTGTCCTTGGTGAGAACCTCCAGTCCTGGCGCTGTCCCGTCCTTGTTCTTGCTGGGCGCCCTGGGGAGCTCTGCCACTGGACTGCTGCTGTGTGTGGCCGGACTCGGAGTGGCCGTGTTCCTCCTCAGAGTAGTAGTACACCCTGTAGGGTCCAGTTCCTTTCTCCCCACGGGAGGATGTCTGCTCGTGCCTTTGTCTGGCCCCGGAGTGACCACGGGCTCCCACTGCCTGGCCTTCTGAGCCTTCAGAATGGCTTTCGCTGTCACTGGCCTGGCTGGTGCTGTCCCTCTGGTGTCTCTCCCTCCTTGATGTGGAATGCCTGGGTCCATCTGGTGACTGGTGGCCAGCTGGGGACTCCTGTCTCCCTCGGGAGCCTGTTCTGGTGGTGCCCCTGGGAGAGTCAGCATGTCTTTGGGAGGACTCGCTTCTCTGCCGGGAGCCGGACTGCCTGGACCTGTCTGTAGACTGTTCGTGTCCACTTGCATGGCCTCTTGCTGTTTCTCTGTGGCCGGACTGCCTGGACCTGTCTGTAGACTGTTCGCGACCAGTTGGCTGCCTGCCTGCTGTGGCCCTGTGGCCTACTTGACCCTGGGAGGAATCACTATCAGTGTGGGAGGCTCTCTGGCCTTGCCTGGATCCTGAGCGTCCAGCGCCATCATGGCGGTCTTCGTGGCCCCTTCTGGTGCTAGATCCGGAAGTTGCCTGGGTGGTGGCCTGGTCCCTTCTGGACTGGTGGTGCTCAGAGCTGTCCCTCGCGGCCTCGCGGTGGGACCCCTGACCCTCTCTAGCACTGTCTCTGGTCTGTCCACGGGAGGACCCTGCCTGGTGGCCAGAGGAAGTCTGTCCTTGGTGAGAACCTCCAGTCCTGGCGCTGTCCCGTCCTTGTTCTTGCTGGGCGCCCTGGGGAGCTCTGCCACTGGACTGCTGCTGTGTGTGGCCGGACTCGGAGTGGCCGTGTTCCTCCTCAGAGTAGTAGTACACCCTGTAGGGTCCAGTTCCTTTCTCCCCACGGGAGGATGTCTGCTCGTGCCTTTGTCTGGCCCCGGAGTGACCACGGGCTCCCACTGCCTGGCCTTCTGAGCCTTCAGAATGGCTTTCGCTGTCACTGGCCTGGCTGGTGCTGTCCCTCTGGTGTCTCTCCCTCCTTGATGTGGAATGCCTGGGTCCATCTGGTGACTGGTGGCCAGCTGGGGACTCCTGTCTCCCTCGGGAGCCTGTTCTGGTGGTGCCCCTGGGAGAGTCAGCATGTCTTTGGGAGGACTCGCTTCTCTGCCGGGAGCCGGACTGCCTGGACCTGTCTGTAGACTGTTCGTGTCCACTTGCATGGCCTCTTGCTGTTTCTCTGTGGCCGGACTGCCTGGACCTGTCTGTAGACTGTTCGCGACCAGTTGGCTGCCTGCCTGCCAAGTAGGCCCTGTGGCCTACTTGACCCTGGGAGGAATCACTTTCAGTGTGGGAGGCTCTCTGGCCTTGCCTGGATCCTGAGCGTCCAGCACCATCATGGCGGTCTTCGTGGCCCCTTCTGGTGCTAGATCCGGAAGTTGCCTGGGTGGTGGCCTGGTCCCTTCTGGACTGGTGGTGCTCAGAGCTGTCCCTCGCGGCCTCGCGGTGGGACCCCTGACCCTCTCTAGCACTGTCTCTGGTCTGTCCACGGGAGGACCCTGCCTGGTGGCCAGAGGAAGTCTGTCCTTGGTGAGAACCTCCAGTCCTGGCGCTGTCCCGTCCTTGTTCTTGCTGGGCGCCCTGGGGAGCTCTGCCACTGGACCGCTGCTGTGTGTGGCCGGACTCGGAGTGGCCGTGTTCCTCCTCAGAGTAGTAGTACACCCTGTAGGGTCCAGTTCCTTTCTCCCCACGGGAGGATGTCTGCTCGTGCCTTTGTCTGGCCCCGGAGTGACCACGGGCTCCCACTGCCTGGCCTTCTGAGCCTTCAGAATGGCTTTCGCTGTCACTGGCCTGGCTGGTGCTGTCCCTCTGGTGTCTCTCCCTCCTTGATGTGGAATGCCTGGGTCCATCTGGTGACTGGTGGCCAGCTGGGGACTCCTGTCTCCCTCGGGAGCCTGTTCTGGTGGTGCCCCTGGGAGAGTCAGCATGTCTTTGGGAGGACTCGCTTCTCTGCCGGGAGCCAGACTGCCTGGACCTGTCTGTAGACTGTTCGTGTCCACTTGCATGGCCTCTTGCTGTTTCTCTGTGGCCGGACTGCCTGGACCTGTCTGTAGACTGTTCGCGACCAGTTGGCTGCCTGCCTGCTGTGGCCCTGTGGCCTACTTGACCCTGGGAGGAATCACTATCAGTGTGGGAGGCTCTCTGGCCTTGCCTGGATCCTGAGCGTCCAGCGCCATCATGGCGGTCTTCGTGGCCCCTTCTGGTGCTAGATCCGGAAGTTGCCTGGGTGGTGGCCTGGTCCCTTCTGGACTGGTGGTGCTCAGAGCTGTCCCTCGCGGCCTCGCGGTGGGACCCCTGACCCTCTCTAGCACTGTCTCTGGTCTGTCCACGGGAGGACCCTGCCTGGTGGCCAGAGGAAGTCTGTCCTTGGTGAGAACCTCCAGTCCTGGCGCTGTCCCGTCCTTGTTCTTGCTGGGCGCCCTGGGGAGCTCTGCCACTGGACCGCTGCTGTGTGTGGCCGGACTCGGAGTGGCCGTGTTCCTCCTCAGAGTAGTAGTACACCCTGTAGGGTCCAGTTCCTTTCTCCCCACGGGAGGATGTCTGCTCGTGCCTTTGTCTGGCCCCGGAGTGACCACGGGCTCCCACTGCCTGGCCTTCTGAGCCTTCAGAATGGCTTTCGCTGTCACTGTCCTGGCTGGTGCTGTCCCTCTGGTGTCTCTCCCTCCTTGATGTGGAATGCCTGGGTCCATCTGGTGACTGGTGGCCAGCTGGGGACTCCTGTCTCCCTCGGGAGCCTGTTCTGGTGGTGCCCCTGGGAGAGTCAGCATGTCTTTGGGAGGACTCGCTTCTCTGCCGGGAGCCGGACTGCCTGGACCTGTCTGTAGACTGTTCGTGTCCACTTGCATGGCCTCTTGCTGTTTCTCTGTGGCCGGACTGCCTGGACCTGTCTGTAGAGACTTGATGTCCAGTTTTTTGCCTGTTTGAGCTTCTTTCATTTTCTTGTTCTTCTTGGACATTCTCTTTTTCGTAGTAATAATCTCCTCTGTTTTTAACCCTTTCTTCATAATTTGTATTTTCATCTTTCACAACATCATATTTTTTTTCGTTTGTTTTCTTTGTTCTTCTATTTTGCTTTCCTTTGCTGTCTCTTCTTTCCGTCGAATTAGAACCTCCCCGATGCTTTCTATTTGAACTGTGATGTTTCCCATGTTTTTCTGTTTCTCCATGGTTATTTGTGTCCCTCTCCTGTTTTCTACTGCTTGATCCATGTCTTTCTTTCCCTCTTCCTCTGGGACTTTTCGATCTTTCTTTATTTTGCTTTCCGTCAGTTCTTCTGTGTCTTTGTCTTCTTTCTTCTTCTTCTTCTTCTCCATCCTCCTCTACTTGTTTATAATGTTCTTTTCTTCTTCTCTTGGATCCCGTTTGCAAACTTTTGTTGCGAGATGATTCATAATATGCTTGAGCTAACTTCAACACCAGCAGTAAATACTCAGTGAAATCTATTTTCTCATTATGGTCTACATCCAGGATTTGCATGAAGACATCTGCAATATCTTCATCATCTGGATTCTGTAAGAATTGTTGACACTCCATTACATTATTTGCTATGTAGACTTCATACCAACTAATTTCAACTTTATAGTTCAATTGCTATTTTAATTTATGTTTTGTACCATCATTTGTGCTATGTCATTTAGATTTTTTCATTTGTAGTGCTTTTATAATCTTTCATTCTTGTCTCACATATATTGGTAATGTATAAATTAATGTTTAAAGATCAGCTAGGAATCATCTCTCATTTTCTGAGGTCAATTACTCTTTTTCTCACTTTGTGAATCTGAATTTTATTCACTCTATCACTTAATTTCCTTCTCAGTAAACCCTTTTACATTTCTTTTCTTTTCTTTTCTTTTTTTTTTTTGTTTTTTTCGAGACAGGGTTTCTCTGTTGTTTTGGAGCCTGTCCTGGGACTAGCTCTTGTAGACCAGGCTGGTCTCAAACTCACAGATATCCACCTGACTCTGCCTCCTGAGTGCTGGGATTACAGGCGTGCGCCACCACCGCCAGGCCCCTTTTACATTTCTTGATGTTGGGAAACCTTTTGTGAAAAGTTAATTTACACTCATATTTTGTAATTAAATATTGTTATTATTCATTTTTTACATATGCTAGCACTACATGAATAATATATATGTACATATTTAAAGACAGCTAAATAACATTTCTCTCTTCTTAGTCATGGCTCTTTAATTACATAATGCAATTAAATAATGTTTTATACAATCTTAGCTTAGATTATTGGGGAGGAACAGAAAGTCTGATTTTCTTGGTTGTTTTTGCTTACCTTCAGAACTGCCCGTAATTCTATTTCCAGAAGTTCCTTCAGCTCCTTTTTGCTCAGTGTTTCTGTTTCCTTATCATTGTTTGAGTATTGCTGGAATATGTCAATCATGGAAGTGATGTTTTCCAGGAGAGTGGACATCTTTCAATGGTATATATGTACCTAGAAAGATGAAACAAAGTTCATTTTTATGTTGTAGGTTGTATTTATTACTGTAATGATTATTTATATTTTAAACCTGTAGCTTTCTTTAAGAAATACACTTTTGAAATGAAACTTGATCATGAACAACTTCTCCCTACTCTCTGCAAAGTAAAAACATTGAGTAATTTTTTTTGGTATCGGACACTGCCTGTTTTGGAGTTTTAAATTCATTCCCAATAGTAGATTACAAATCTCCTAGACCTCCGTGTGCTCTGTGCATCGTAGTTACTCTTTGTGAACTGACTGTTCTTCCTGGAAGGGGGATAAAAAGCTCAGGTGCTTATCTTTTCAGTGACTGGACAATAGTAGGCATATCAATTAATGACATAAGTATGTTTTGTATAGAGGCATTGCAATGATGACTTTTAGACTTACATAGCAGGCAGAACAAAAATACTGTAGGTAACATAAATTTGTCAGATATGACTAAGTAATCTGACCTAAAGAATTATGGACCTTGGAGTTTTGGACAAAATGAAATGTGCTTGCTGACTTTTGTTGTGATTTATTTGAATAGATAGTTTTGCAAGATTATTTTTTATCCCCTGAAAGAACTGAATTTAAATCTTCTGAAGTGTTCAAAATGAAGGGGAAATAAAATCCATGATTCATGCAGGTTAATGTGAGAGATAGAGGTGAGTCAGGTAGGATGACCTTTAAATGGTCAATACTGATGCATTTCACTCTACATGTGATAGATTATTAATTTTTAATCAGAAAATGATTAAATTGATTGTTTACTAAAATCTTACTTTGTACAATAGTTTATTTGATTGTTTTAGATTAACCCCTCTTTTGAGAACAGTGATAGCTGGTGTGTGTGTATGCGTGTGTGTGTGTGTGTGTGTGTGTGTGTATGAGTGTGTTACTGCAGAACCATAAAGATCATGACAGTTTATCCTGGTTTATATTCAAACTGGAAAGAAACTCATCATGAGGTAGATACTGGAATTGAAAAATTAAAGGCTAATTCTACTTGGGAACACAGAGAAGCAGAAAAGAATGAAAAATAATTAAATGAATAAATATACAAGGAAATTTTAGTGTGTATTGATATAATAAAATGGTGATACTAATATATTTTAGCATCTATGTAATAGGTTGAGTTATTCTAACAAAGCTGGTTGGATTTATTAACTCCATGCCAAGTGGAGCTAGAATGAATGTAGTTTTTTATTAAAAGAGAGGACAAAAAAATCAATAACTTAAACATAGTTCTCAAGAAGTTTGAATGAGAACAAAAAATTAAGGCTGATGATATGCATATTTATACAGGTGTCCACTTGTCTTAGTATTAATCTGGCAAATTAAATGCATTCCCACTTACCTTGTTTGGAGGAAGAGTGGATAGAACACAGCTGAAGGAGCTTGCTGGGTACTGCAGTCTGAGTGAATGGCCTTTTTATACAGTAAGTCCATCCAGGGAGGAGCCACCTTCTGTGGGATGGTCTGATTCATTCTTAACCAAACCCAGAACCACCCATATCTCCACCTCTGTTTCTCCAATGACATGTGTTTACTTCCCAGCTTCCTCACGTACTCATGTGTACTTGTTGTAGCAAGCTCCAAATCTGGATTTACATACTTTACCCAGTAAGCCACAGTCTCGTGGCAATACACAGATTAATGGAGATGGGTTAATTTAAGATATGAGTTAGCCAGAAATACGATTAAGTTATTGGCCAAACAGTATTGCAAATAATATGGTTTCAGTGTGATTATTTCGGGGCTGAGCACCTAGGAACAAACAAGTGGCCTCCTACCATACTGTGGTATTGGTGATTTTCTGAAAGAGACTTTACTAAAGTTTCATGTATGCATGCCCATACTTAGGTTTTTGTAGCTCCCGATTTGACCTGGTAAGTGTACACTGATCCTTTCTTGTTTCTATAAATGTGTGCATCTACATGCATGTATATAAAATTAATTACAAGTTCAATGCCTACCTTCATGCCTCTTTTAACCATGAGAGAACTTACTATGAGACAAATATTGATTCTATAATAACTGGAGAGAAGACAGTCACATTAATTTTGATTTTTCAAAATGGAGCAAGAATTTGGGCTCTTGAATTCAAAGTCGTGATCACTAGAAATATGTTTGTTGGTCAAAATTCATTAGTTTGTTATGTTTTCAAGGTTATTGCAGAGGCATCCTTCTGTGTAACCCACAAGTGGAGCTTGTTAAGAGGTGTGGAAGACGGGGTAAACTATTATTCCTGAAAACTACAGGAGACTCCTATCCTGGATCTCTCTTTTGATCTTTATGCTAGTAGCTAAACCACCTGTACTTCCATGTGGATCAGTCATGATCACAGTCATCGCAGTCCATATTGTTGAAAACCATCTCACTATTGATCCCCTACCACAAGGCCCTCTCTTCCAGAAATCTGCACACTGGTTATATTTTCTTCTTCCTATCTCCCATGCTTAGCCATATAATGTGTATTATTTTAGACTTATATTCTTTATGCAGGCCTATTCTCCATCTCCTATGTGACAGTTTGGGTTCTGGACTGTAACATCTGTCAATCTGGTATTTGTAGTAAATATCAGACTCATCCATTTCTGTTATTCATCTCTCAGCCTATAATGTCATTCTCTGTGCTGGCTCTTTGCCTGATGGATTCTGAAGTCCTGTACTTGACATAAAAGTCCCTTCACAATTATGCGTGCATTCATATTCTTCAAGCTCCTCTTTTATTCCTCGAGTATTGTGGAAAAGTCATGTTAGAGAACTCAATCCTGCTGGAAGTCTATGCATGCTATCCTCACTGTTTAGAGTCTCTTAGCTTTAGCTTCAGTCTCCTCTAGGACCCTCCTGAACCATCACTTTGTGCATAGAACCTTATTTGCCATCTCCGGTTTACCACTTACAAAACTATATTTTTATTTATTTATGTGTCTGTGTCCTATTCTCAATTTTCCGTTTCTGTTTTATTTTGGCATTGACTATTTCTGAATCCTCTTTTATCTCCTTGGGTCCTGTTAACCATGTCTGAAACATGAGCAAAGAAGAGCAAACAAGGGGATTGCCAATATTGTTTAGGTTAAAAAGTACAATATTTCAATGCTTTCATTCCTAATTTCAGTAAATCCCTGGCTCTTTCATTTTGAACAGCAGTTAGCACTCATAGAACATAGGTCTTCTTTTTAAATTTTGGGTGTAATTGTCTTTGTGTGTCAGCAGCTATTGTGTCTTAGCATGGTGTAACCATGCTAATCATAATCATAAGACTGATCTCTATTGTGTGCTCGCTGTGTGATAAGAATGTGCTAAGATTTTCAATGCATTACTTCTCTGCCTCAGAGCAACACTGTGAGGTCATTATTACCATCCCTGTTTCAGAGATGAGAGAACTGATAGTGATAAGGTGAGCAAGGAGAACTTAAACCCAGGTCACCTAGGCTCCTATTTCCACCACCTCATGCTGCTTGGAGTTTCCTTCCTCTTTTCCCAGCTGTAGAGTTCACATTTTTTTCAATAAGTTCCCCCAGGTCCTGAGCAAACTTATTTATGGAAATCATTACAAATGCAACTGGAAGATTAGATCATTGTGGATAAGAAAGCAAGGTAAATAAAAGAGTGATAAGAACAGGCATTCAATGACATAGGATTTTAGTGGCCAGAAGACCCAAATCTTGTAGATTCATATCACTATGAAGGGGAATCTCTGGTGGTATGTTCCAGGACTGACTTTTAAAACTGTGTTATAGTTAGTATGTTTCATCAATAACTTGGATGAATATGTAAAAAGATGGCAGATATTTTAAAAGTAAAGATCCAAGAAGATTTTTGGCATGAAGTACCAGGGGTTGAAATGTTATAAAATGAACTTTACAGAAACAAAAGTAAAAATCTGACTTTGGTCCTAAGTTAAGTTCCACAAGGATATTGCAGATTTACAAATAAAGAAGTTTTATTGTGACGGTAGCAATGATATGGCAGCTGGCAGCCAGTGCAATGGTAGACTACTTTAAAAGGAGCAGATTAACCAGTTCCTCTTTATTTGGAGCTTATCACATTTTTTTAACTTCTGGTGATGACATTTCAGTAAGGCTATGAACAACTTGATATGTGTTCTAAGGAAACAGATGCCATGATTAGGTGGACGTAGTAAAGAGAATAGGCTTAGATGGATTGGTGTATGGTTGGACCATGAATGAGAGGCACAGTATCTGTCTTCAGTTATGTGAGTGGCTGTCAGAAAAAAAAAAGTTTTGCTCAAGGTGCATAGTGCTAGGGTAGGTAGAATTCAAGAACATGAGAGAGAACTTTGTCTAAGATTTTTTTTTCAACATCTGAATTGTTCAAATGTTACAGCAATTATTTTTGGAGATGGTAGTTCCTTATCACTTAGGTGACTTGAATTAGGTGAGACCTTTCTTGGCCATGAGGTAGTCTAGTTCTTTCACACTGTGGGTGAAGACCAGGAGTTCTAGTGTTGTGTGACTGCTAAATACAATAGTAAAGACCCTGATCTGCAACTCCGGACTTTCATCCTACCTCCTCTTTACACTGAGCCAGGATGCATCACTTGCTCAGAAATGAGCCTAAGACAGAGATGGTTTTGAGGAAGTTAAATGCAGGAATTTGGGTACATGTTTGATAAAACCCAGTTTCACCACGAGAGCTATTTTTTCTGTGTTTCAAGAAAGTATTTTTCTCTGACTTGATTTATCAAAACTCAGATGTTATTTGGTCAGTGTGGTTTAATGACTGCAGGAGTAATAATGTCACTTTGTGATCTGATCAAAAAGTACTTGAATTTCAACTTCTGCCCCAGTTCATTCCAGTGTAGTTGATCCCATTTACTAGCTAGCTTTTTAATCTAAGAACCAAAGTATTTTTCCCTTTGAAGTCTTTAATATAGAGGTTGCCCCTTTCCCCAGACGGTCCCTGTTCTTCACTGCAAAGAATGGTTTTAGAGGTGTCTT